TACATTTACTCAATGATACAGCAGATGAAACTCAAGGGTGAGGCTCTAATCAGCTATCCCTAACTAGCTGATCAGGATCTACCAGTAGATCTTGGAGCTTCTGACAGGTGATCCTGACCGGTTTGGCTGGGAGGCACTTCAGCTGCCCTTCTCCCCACTGCCCTGCTGCTCCTGCCCAGAACATCAGAGCTTGTTGCACAGGGTGGGGGAGACAGAGGCAGAGGGGGGCACTGATATCTCTCTGTCCTGCTCCCCTGTAACCCATCTTCACAGAGTGAGGAGGGCAGAGCCTCGGCCAAGGGGTGAGGCAGGTGTATTTGGGTTTGAGCTAGATCCTGGGCAGACTTAAATTCAAAAAGTGATCTTGTGCTTAAAATGGTTGGAGACCATTTGTCATAATCAGGAGTGCTGACCAGCACCTGGTGACTAAGGGGTTAACTAATGCCTCCTGTACCATGTCAGGTTTCAGGTGGTCAGCCAATGACAATGCAGGTAGAAATTTCAAACTGGTAAAGAGGAGTTTCTCTGTTTCTTTGTTTGAGATTTAGAGCAGTTTCTTCCAAGACTGGGGGGAGATGGGAGCAGGGTCAGACTGAGGCACAGGTGAGTCAGACAGCTGCCCAGGGCGCCAACTGATGGGGGGCGCCTGATGGCAGCTGTAAGGGGCGCACAGTGTCCCACAGCACTGGCCCTGTGGCGCCGGCCAGCAGTGCCCTTCCCCCCATGGCCGTGGGGCCCTGCACAGCCCGGCGCATGCGCTAGCAGCGGTAGCTGGGCCGATCTGGGCAGCGCATGCGCCAAGCGCCCCGGGGGCAGGCCCCAGGCTGTGCGCCAGCAGCTGTGGCTGGGTCGGGCAGCGCATGCACCGAGCGCCCCGGGGGGGCGGGCCCCGGGCTGCACGCCAGCAGCCATAGCCAGGCCGTGCATGCGTCATGTGCCTGGGGGCGGCACCATGCACCTGAGGCACCATAAGGGCTCAGGCCGGCCCTGGATGGGAGACACTTTTCTTTCCAGTAAATAGGGAAAAGTTTAGATAGTGCGTCAGGATTTGTTGTTTCTCCTGGTTGGGAATTTGGAACTAATGTCTGAGCTGTTAAGTGTGTTTTTCTTGTCCTGTTTTGTAACTAAAGCTATTAGCTCAGGGGGTTCCCCTGAGTACCAAGATCAATTGGTGGCTCTTTCCATCTAGCCACTTTACTATGCTTGAAACTGTAGTTTTGTTTTGATAATAAAAGTAAGTTTCTTTTTCTAATTAACTGGAATGGGTTGATTGTTGTGTCCTTTGACTCAGTGCCTAGTTACAAGGGCAGAGTCCACTGTTGTCTGTGAATCCTCTCTGTTTTTCCTAACTCCAAGTAAAATGGAAGTTGGGGTAGGGGAGAGTTTTACCTTAGGGAGGTGATTTCCCAAGTGATCTCTTTCCTGGTTTTCTTGGCATTACTTGGGTGGTGGCAGCAGATTTCCCAAAATCTGGGTATTAGGATTTTGGAGGGAAGATTTTTGTACCAGAGCCTGTAGAGGCAAGGTTTTGGAGTGCCCCCACTTCTGCATTTGTCGTGCCAGATGGGGCAGCCTTGGCACCATTGCTCTAAGCTGCTCAGCAGCACACCTTCCCAGGTGATTAATCAGTTGCTGGGATTTTGCTGTCAAGGATTCTATGTATTTTATTTACAATATTGCCATTTCTCCCTGTGTTACAGACTGAGTCCCTCCTACCCCTGCATTCGTTAGTTAGCGTTAACCACTTCTCTTAATACCATAGTAAAATGCTTGATTGCAGGTTATTTATTTATTATTATTCCTAAACATCAGTGGGGAATAATCTCAAATAATGTGCATTATTCTCAATGTATGTTTTCAGTATATAGGATCTTCTGGATGTTCTTGTGACACCTGATTCAGTATGCTTTACTATTTATATACCTGTGATTTCACTGATCTCAGACAGATTCATCTGGCTTTGTCACATGAAACTGGTTCTGATCATGATAGAATGTGCCAAGAAAGAAAGATTGCTGGGACCACATTTTCTTGGATCATGAATTACTAGACTTGAAAGGCTTTTCTGAAGTATCTGGAATAGCTTTAGTCTCCCAGCATATTTAAAAGCAGAACCACCACTCTCTCAATCTGCCACATGAACAGTCAGAAGAGAATATCACAAATGTTGTGTAACTTTTCTGTTGGAGAAACTGAAATACTATCAATCAATAACGTGATAAGAAACCACAACATGACAGACATTTTTCGGACACTGAAAAAGGGGGAGTTACCATCACCATGGAGTCCAAGGACTGATAGGTACACAGATGTTAACAAAAGAGGAACAAAAAGATTTTTATACAAATCAATTTGATGTAGTGTAGGTAGCAGATTAAAGGGGCATATTATTTATACTCCACAGCTATATTAGATCTGAAGTTAGAGGCGATAAGCAATCTTTGAGAAGGGGGAAAAAAGGAAGCAACTGATACAAGGGCAGATTTTATACAATCCTGCTTGGGTGAGGTGGCTAAATCTGAAAACTGAATCTCAAGATTAGTTTATGGATACAAAAACTAATGGGGGTGATTGCACACAGTTCTGGATAAGCATTCATTATCTATTTCTCTCTGCATCTAAATTTTGAGTTCTGATGTGAAGTTAACTGATTTCAGCAGAGTAGAACTGTAGAAAGCCTATTCTCCTTGCTCATTAAGCACAGGAAGACTTAGAGAACTGAACATGACAGGAGTGCAATCATTTGTTTCAATTTTCTCAAGTGATCTTAAAAAAATTAATTCACAGAATTTTATCTTTAGAGAGCAAAAAATGGATAGCAGGTATATGGCTGTCCAATCTTGCATCAGTGTGAATTGAATCTTCTAGCACCAGTGCTGTAATGTCTGCTTTACCTTTATTGCTTGCTGTTTCCAGACAAAATAGTTTAACCAAAAACCAAACCCAACCAAAAACAAACAGCCCAAGATGAAATTAAGCTGCTTAGAGAGACTTCAGATTAAAATTGGTTTAGGCTGCTGGACAGAACAGTTTTATTCAAAATCCGTAAAGGGGAACAAAAAAAGGGCATGCACTCCTTAATGAAACTTGAAGATGTATACACACAGCATCCATGTTTGTTATGTTACATCAGAAATATGAGGCCTGGACCTCAATTTTTGAGGGACCTGGATAGTTACATCAAGAATGAGAGGTGAAATATGGTCAAGACTTATGTCCTTCAGAAACAAGATAGAAGAAAAGGTTTATTAGTGTAAAATAAAATTGAAGCTGTATAACGATGACCAATAAAAAACACATATTGTTTTTTGCTGTCATTTAGCAATGGGGAAAACAAAAGAGCAGAGATAAATACGACAAAATTTGATATCCTAATCTGGCTCACAAGAGAAATTAGTCTAGATAGTGGGAAACAGCTGGAATACATACTCAGGCTCCCATGTTTAAGAGATGCGAACCAATCCAGTCAAACTGGTTCATTTTGGAGAAGACTGCCAATTCATGCTGAGGGAAGCAGGAGAAGAGGGAACAATGTGCACTTCTGCTATGGTTGCCAAAATAAGCTGTGGCAGTTAAATCATGCTCAATTAAATTTACACTGAGTTTTCAAGCCTCATAATGTCAGCATTATTAAACAGCTGGACTAGATTAGTAACACTACAAGCATGCACAGACTTCAGTGCTCATAGACTTAGCTGGGTCTCACATAAAGGGGCTGCTTTTTAGCCCTTATTTACAAAAGTTAAAATTTCCTTCATTGCACTTCAGCCAGGTCTACACTAGAAACTTTGGACAACATAGCTATGTTGATCCGGGGCATGAAGATTCATGGTCCCTGCTCTGACAGATGTTGCTGTGCCGGCAAGAACGTCTAATGTAGATGGAGTTATATCAAGCAATTATTTTGCTGGAATAAACTTTACCAACAAAAATTAGTTTGGATGGTATAAACAGTGTACACATTAAAGTGCTTTTCGGGCTGTAATAAGTTACCAAAGCATTCAGCTGTACAGCTGGCCTTAGAAACCATTTGAACGGTTTATAAATTAGTCTGTGACTGTATTTCAACGTCTTCCACAGAAGATGCTAGTAAGTCAAAGGAATTTTAAAAGTGGCATCACTGTCTCTCACTGGAATAACTATCACTCATTTTTTGCAAAATCTTTCAATAGAAATTATATGTAGTTAAAGGAATAGGCTCCCCAAAATATTTGTCTGTTATACATCATGAAAAGTATAATTTGTGAAACATACCAATTTGTGCACTGGAGAGTTTCTCCAGCTACTATTTATACTGTTTACAAAGTAACATCACTATTTACAAAATTCTGGTTTACAGAGTCCTGTATCAATATATATTTGACATATACCCAGAGCCAGAAAGATCCCCCATTTTCTCAATGCTTTATAGCCTCGTTATCGAGGCAATGAACTGCGGATAATATCTTGTCACAGATTTCCTTATGATCTCATCAACGGAAAGTCCCACCTTCATGGGCTGGGACAGATTGTTAAAGATTTAGGGCACTTCATCCACAGAGGACCAAACGTGCTGCTTCTGCAGTGCTCTGAGCCCTTGCTGGCCTAGATCTAGTAATAGAGCTACATAAAAGTAACTCCCTTTAACTCCAATCAGTGACAGTGAGAATTCCTGTTCAAAAGGTTAGTGGTTAGTGTTTAAAAAAAATTGAAAAAAGCAAAAGGTCATTTTGGTATTCAATACTACCAGCTCCACCTTCATCTGCAGTCTGTGGCTCTGTAGAAGAACAAGATTTGTAAGATAAGATTAAGTGCTATCCAGCCTTGTGATTTAATTCAACAACAAAGAAACGGGGAAGGTGGAGAGAATACTTATAAACTGTATGTTGAAATAATTGCCTTAATTATAAGACTTATGCTCTAGATATAGCTTGACAGCCTACACCTCAATTAGTTCCACCTTCATTATTTTTGACACAATTCCAACAACAGAGTGAGGACACAAAAGTGAACTCGGGTATATTTTTTATTTCTGCGCAGTTACTTTTAAATTTCTATCGACTCACATACATACTGTCCCTCCTTCCAGCTGGAACTTGAGACGTTATTAATAACTGATTACAACAAGTTTCATTTTCCCTTAAAATATTTTTATTGCTCAGGAAAGTGAGGACCCAACCATGCTTACAGCCACACACCGTAAATGCCACCTTTCAGATCTCCTTATTTCCAAGGCATTTCAGTCAGAGTCCAAGGCCAGAAGGGACCATTCAATCAATTAGCCTGGTATCCTGTACACCACAGGGCCACAGGACTTCCCCAAGATAATTCTTAGAGCAGCTTTCAGACAAACATCCAATCCTAAATTAAACAGTAATGGAGAACTGACCACAATCCTTGGTAAATTTCAATGGTTAACCACTCTCACTGGGTAAAAAGCTTCCCTTATTTTCATTCTGAATGTGTCTAGCTTTAACTTCCTGTCATTTAATTGTATTACACCTTTTCCTGATAGGCTGAAGAGCTTATTATTAAATATTTGCTTCCCAAATAGAACTGAAAGCAACCAGCCCTTAGTCTCTCTTTATTAAGCAAAAGAGAGACTCAAGGAACTTAGTATCACTACAATGCTTGTTTTCTAGCCCTTTAATTATTCTTATGGGTCTTCTCTGAACCTTCTCCAATTTATGAATATCCTTTTGAATTGTGGGCCCCAGAACTGGACACAGTATGCTAACAGCAGTCACACTTCTCTACACCTACCCAAGACTCCTGTTTATGCATGTGAGGACCGCATTAGCTCTTTAGCACATACCACCACACTAGGAGCTCTCTCGTTCAACTGATTACTCACCATAACCCCCAAAATCTTTTTCAGCGTCACTGCTTGCCAAGTCTTTCATCTCATAGAAATTACCTAACTCTTGTTCATTAGCCACATTAAAAACACATATTGTTCGCTTACATCCAACTTACGAAGCAATTCAGAGTCCTCTAAATCAAGTGACTAGTCTTCATTATTTATCACTCCTCCAAGTATAAAATAAATATTTAACACTTCTGCCTTTTTGGAATTATTATTGATAAGTCTACCAGTTTGTTTTCTCTGGATTCATTTTGTTTATAATATACTTAACTCTTTATTATCACTCACTCTGCTGTCCAAGATTTCTCAGTGTTTCTTTGCTTCCCTTTTCAATTTTCTACAATTCCTAACTTTTGATTTATATGCATTACTATCAATTTCACCTTTCTTCCATGTGTTATATTTTTAAATTTAAAATCCATCTTCACTTCTCTTCTAAACTGGATTGGTTAACCAGCATAACCATCTTCCTCAATTATGGGATTCTGGCTTTTGTGTGTTTTTAAATTAATCTCAGTTATCCTTCACAGTTTGCAAATCAATGTCTTCTTCCTAGCTGATCTAGCTCAATTATCATCAGGCTTTGTGAAACCTGACCTAATAAGGGACCAAGTATATATACTACTAGTGTGGACTTCATTATGCTTGTACATTATAAATAAGACCTAGTCACGAACATTTGTACCTAAACTGCCATTAATTTTTAGTTCTGTGATTAGTTCATCTTCATCTGCAGGACAAAGTCTTAAAGAATTCCCTCGTGTTGGCGAAAACACTTTGGAGTTAGGAAGTTTTCATGTAGTGTTTAGAATTCCAATGTTTTAGTATGGCCAGCGGGAGACCTCCAGTATATGTCAGTCGAACCCAAGTTCCCCATGATCATGCAGCTTTTTCCCTTATACATTATAGATAAAACATTAAGGAGGCAGCTCATCCTACTCCACTGTTCCACTATTCCGCTTCTAATAAGCAAAAGCTACTAATTACATTAAATTATATGATGGTTTTATAAGAAACGTTTTAAGACCAACTACATTTAAAATATGTAATTTAAGGTGAGATTCAACACAGATCACATAGCTGAAAAGCTTCAGCTTTAACCCCTGTGCTATCTTACCCGTTTAACTATTACTTAAAACACAGAACATCAATTAGTATTCAAAACATGTCTATTAAAGGATGCATTTTGAAGGCATTTTACATATCAGATGCACATTCATTACACAATAATGGTATTAAATAGAAATAGTTAAAACATTGTAAATGCTACTTCTTATTTAGTCTTCAGGATATCTTGAATATATCATAAATCAATGTAATACACTCAATTTTAGCTACACTTACCAGTCTTGCTGTCTGAATCTGATGTTACAGACCCTCCCCATGACCACCTCTTCTGTCGTGTTTCCATCCGTTGGCTCCGCTCCAAGGTACGATGCACAACTGCTTCATAGCGCTCCTATTATCAAATAATATCACTGTAAGGCTATAACCATTATTAAGCACAACTACGTTCAACACAAAATCTTTCTTCCTTGAAAAGTCTGAATTCTAGCAAAAACATCTGTTTTCCCTGCACCATGTGTTTAATTCTAAAACAAATATGCAAAAAGACTGATGACTCCAAATTAAGCACAAATATAGTGCACAAATATTCCTCTAACAAGCAACATATAATATTTTCTTATTTAAACTAATAACTGGGTATATCCTATTGTGAATATCCATATTTGTTAGACTAGCAAATATGCTTTTCCTCTTGCTTTGTATTCTTCTGCTCCAGACATTTTGAATGTTTTTACACAGAGATGTGTGAAAAAAGTTTGAATTGTTAACTCTAATAGTCTAAGTGCATTTAATCAAGGATCTGCTGTAGTCACTAGGTATCAGTTCAGAGAGATTATACAAAATGCCACCACTTATCCACAGGTGTCTTGATTATCAGAGACTTAAACATATAAAGTGGGAGGAAGGATTATAAAAATCTCAAGTGTTTAAATGGTAAATTCTAGCTTTCAAAGAAGCCACTAAGGTACAAAACTCCAGAATTCTCCTGAAATAACTTAGAATTATTTTCAAGCATCCATATATTAAACAATCTTAAATATATAAAGTAAATTAGTAGAGACATCCTTCTCTGTGAAAGACGACTTTTAATTAACATTCCATTGGATGCTGAATGTTGGTTAAGGATTTTTTTTTTTTAAAGAAAAATAGTTCTCTTATAAGAAGAGAACTCCATGAACTCCATGGCTCAGCTGCTGACAGAAAATACTGCTACTTACTGAAATATGAATAAAATATTTTTTAAATCTGTTTGAAAAGATAGTATAATATTTGTTAATGCACATTTTTCAAGTACTATACAAACTTCTCTAAACATGAAGGATTTTTGCCATCAGCTTCAATGGAAGTAGGATGGGATTCAAAAGAAGTTAAAACTTAAAAGAAAAAACTATGACAAGCTGAAAGTCTGTTTTAACTTGTAAACACTGGACTTCAACAATAAGTTGAACATTACTAACATCTGGAACAGCACAGAAGTACAGCTCTCCCTCTATCACAGGTGTTTATGTCATCCAGTGGAGAGGGAAACCAAAACCCAGAAAATTGAACTCCAGTCCTACCATATAAAAAGGATTACACAGTTTACTTTTAATAGACCTCCTTTTCCACTATACTCAAGGTTTATAAGCATATGGGACTACCTAGCTGTGAAGATCAACAATAGGTTCATTTTGCTGAAACAGTAAAGAATCAGTATTTGTCATCGATACATTAAAAGATACCAAGGGACAAGTTACCCAAACAATTCTCTCCCTTAAGGGAACATGGAAGCCTACTGACCTCAATATGAATTTCACAATGCAGACTAAAATCTCTCTGGATAAAGTTTGGAATTTCTTTGGTGACAAAAGAACTTGGAAGGAAAGGATAAAGATGCCCCAACCCATGAATAGGGAGATCTTATTTGCCAGGAAGGGCTTTCCAGGAAAATAGTCTTTGGAATGATTGCAGATTATCTTCCTCTAAAGAAGAGAAGGGGCTAACTCCAGCCAGGTTTATTTTACAGACTTCTGATACAGTCTAGGGCCCTTCTTCTGAAATCTTGGACAGAACTAAGATGTAAATGCCCAAAGTATCTGGACAAAGATCAATAGAACACATTGCTACTAGGATTTTTTTTTAATTATTTGTATTGCAGCAGAATTTAAAACGGTCCCAATCAGGGATTAAAGCTCCACTGTACCATCTCAAAACGATTACAGTCTAAGTATTATCAGACACACAACCTATATCTATCTATCTATATCACATAGCTAATAATTCACTTAAGTCTTAATTACTGACATTAAACAATAAATTCTTTAATCTTAACAATGAGGCTTTTATGATTAGTCTCAGGCAGGTGCCATTAAATCTTGCACTTGTTCTCAGTATGGTGATTCCTTTCTTAAATTACCTGTTTTAAGTCTCCTGTGGTAAATTATTAACCAGAAATGATTTGCCTCAAGCATGAAACAAAAAATGAAAAAATATGGTTTGCTGCTTTTATCATCCATTGTGCTTGGTAAATTTTGGAGTGGAAGAAGATGTGTTATTGGTAAATAATCAACAGTTTATATTAAAAATAAAGGGTTTTTTAAAATCACATTTCTCATTATCCAGCTCTTGTTGACAATGCAGCGTATTCGGGTTAGACTAGTCATTAGGCAAAACTAAAAAAAGACTCTTGCCCATGTGCTAGCTTCTGGGTATGTAGAGGTCTACATCTGATTATCTTCTAAGGAAAAGATCTAGTAAAGTTCAGATTAATATCAATTAGAGGCTGATTTGTCAGGGATTGGATTCCCTGGCAATTCAAATAAATGGTTTCACAAATAGACACTGGTGTTGCCTTCAGGATAAACTTTGGAGAAAATGAAGGTAAAAACAGCGCTTTTTTGTTCCAAGAGATGTAGTTCTATTAGATGGCAATTCCATCCTGGACCAACCTCCAACAGCAGATGCCAAACATTTTTGCTTGTTTTTCAGCAATGTAAGTTATTTCTTTAGTTGCTAAACTGAAACACCTGGGACTTAATTATCTCAAACAACAAGAGTGTAACACAGGGCTGGGCAAAATACAGCCCGGGGGCCAGATCTGGCCCGTCAAGCCACCAGATCTGGCCTGCAGACCACCCTACCGGAACCCTCAGGCACACGCAGTTGCTGCCATTTAAAACACAGCCCCTGGGGCTCTTTGGTCTGCAGGGAGGGGTAGGCTGCATGCAATCTCCCCACCCCCAGCCCAATCCTCAACTCCTATTGGCCAGAAACAACTGGCCAATAAGAACTGACCTCAGCCAATCTCTCTCAGCTCCTATTAGCTGGAAACAGCAAGCCAATCTGAGCTGCGAGATTGGCCTGAGAGACTGGAGCAGTGCAAGCCTCTTCCCCCACCCAGAGTTGAGAGCCACCTGGAGGGAGCAGCCTATATTTTTAAGCGGGTTGGGGCTTGCAGCAGGCAGGGAGCACAGCCTAACTAGAAGGGGCTGCAGCCTGCTGACCAGGAGATACTTAAACTCCTCCCAGCCAGCCTCTGGCACCCCAACCCTTCCTGCACCTCAACTCCCTCCCCTGATCACCATCCAAACCCTCTTCACCTGGTGACAACTCCCTCTGAGCCCCTGCACTCCTCCCCGAGGCTAGAATCCTCCCCTGCACCTAAACACCCTTCCTGAGCCTACACCCCAATACCCTGATGCAGGTCACAACCCCCTCCCTCCACCCAAACACCCTCTCAGACCCCACACCATCTCCTGAACCCCAATCCCTATCCCCATGCACCCTTCTGCACCCAATCTTGACCCTGCACCCCCTCCACAGAAAAGTGTGGCCCCTTGACCATTTACCAAAACTTTGGAGTGGCCCCCAACCAAAAATTACCTTCCACTCCTGGTGTAACAACTTTCAAGTGGAAGAATTGCATGCAACACACACTCAAGAGGAACACTGGGCAACTGAAAATGGCACAAAATGTACGTGCAGCCATTGTAGGATAGATGATGCTTCTAAAAGTACAGAATGTCCATGTTCAGTCAGAGGGAAAACAAAGTGAGAGAGATAGTAGTAAGGATAACTAGATAAGGCAAAAAGAGTAGCCTGATCAACCGCACAAAAGGTGACATCATTAGTAGTCACACAGGAAAACTCAAGCAGTGGAAGCACATGTAAAATACATCAAGTTTCAAAACCATGTTAGTTCTCTAGAAACAGAAAAACTTGCCAAAAAAGTGTAAAATGTTAGGGATATTTTCACAAAACTTAAGTATGTTAAAAACCATTAAAACAAATCAAGATAACTAGCTAACATTCCCTTTGGAACAGGGAGAGCTAGGACTGACAAATTAACTGTGTAACAAAATAATTGACCCTCATAGCAAAAAGGTAACATAGATGCTTTTAATAGAGTAGGAATTCCAATAACTTTCAAAAGAACAACTGATCAACATACTTCTGCTATTGTCAAATAAACCATTTCATGACAGATATAATTTAGACAGTTTCCACAATGTTGCATAGCAACCATGAACAGTACCTTTTCTGCCTCTATTTTTTGTTTTCTTTTTTCTTCTACTGCAGCTCTTCTCTGTTCTTCTTTCTGTTTCTGTTCTTTCAACTTTCTCTGCTTTTCTTCCATCTGTTTTTCATACTGGAGTTTTGCTTTTTTTTCCTTTTCAAATATTTGTGTTTCTTTGGCAGCTATATGTGTTTTAAAACATTTAAATAATTAAATTTAAATCAAGCTTTACAAGTATTCACAAATATTACAATTGACAAAGGTGAAAAGCATATTAGGCCACTTTTGCAACATAATACCCCTCTAGCTGATCTAACTCAGATGTATAGGTAATCTTGCAACTGAATCCAGCCACCTATTCCATTTTGTCCCCAGTTCTAAGAACAGAGCGGAACATTTTCTTAAGTTCTACAATTTATGATGTGTAAGCTTTTCAGGGTAGAGAATGTGCCTTATACTATGCATAAATCTGCTGTTCTCATACTATTAAAGCCTTAGTAGGAAGATGGGCAAAGGAAAACTTAATATGGATTTCTATCACATTTCCCACCCATTTACATGCAATAAAAAAAAATCTAAATGAATGAGGAAATATGGCAAGAAAACATGATAACTAACACAACAGAGTTCAGATTACATATACTTTCTCATAAGTTCAGAGTCTTCCACAACATACTTCTGGACGGCACAGTTTAAACGCAAGCCCAAAAGTAACAAAACAAATTAACTAAAAATTGAACAGAATAGCAGAGAAGCCTGAGGCCAGCAGGAAGAAATTAACTAAATGGACAAGTCACTGTACTAGTACACAGACCGTCTCTGAGCTTCACCACACATGTAGATGAATGGCCCACATTTATACCACCTTTCCTGAATAACCCTGGTTTTGTTATCTAAAATGAAGTCCGGTATAAATGTATTTGATAAAGACTCAATGCAGGAGTCTTTTATTCTTTCTAGAAGCTGAAGAAAGAGATAATGTAGAAGACAATCAAGCAGTTCAGATGGCTAAATATTCTTGGATCATTAATAACATTGTCTGAATGATATATACAAATCTGTCAAAGGTCTTGTCTATCCTGATACTTTTCTCAAAATGTCACATTCACCAATATTATGGCACTGGAAGGTTACAGTACTAGGACTGGGTACTAGGGATGTAAACCATAAGCATTTGCTTATCGGATAGTTGACACACTAATTGACTAGTTACTTCCTCTCCTTGCTGCCTCTAGCAGAACGGGGGGAGGGGAGGGAGAAGAGATGGAGGTGCTTCAAAGCAGCAACACTAGATGTAACCCAGGGCCTGCCGCTTTGAAACACTGCATGGAGCCTGGGGTCAGCTGGGACTCTCCCTCTGACCTGGACTTCATGCAACACTGCCACTTTGAAATGCTGTGTGGCGCCTGGAGCCGGACTCCCCACAGTGTTTCAAAGCAGCAGCACCGCATAGAGTCTCCAGCTGACCTCAGGCTCCATATGGTACTGCTGCTTTGAAATGCCCAGGAAGCAAGAGATCAGCGGGGTACTCAAGCAGTTCCAGGCTCTCTGCAGTGATTTCGCCTTTGAATGTAGTAACAGACCTGGAGCTAATCCGGGGTGAACAATAATTTTTGCGTGGGGACACTTCAAAAATCATGATATGGGGGTGGGCAGAGCTATCCCACCCACATATCATGATTGGTCTGGGGGTGGGAGAGCCCCTTTGCCCCCACTTCCCACTAGGCACCTATGCCCTGGAAGAGGCTTGGCATGTTCCCCCGCCCCCAGGCCAATTAGGGCCTGAGGAGCGTGGGAAGCCTTCTCCTGCCCTGCGAGGAGCACATGGCACTTTGAAGTGCTGCAGGCTCCTCTCAGGGCAAAGGAAGTTTCACGCAGCTCTCCCACCCCCAGGCTCTGATTGGCCTGGAGGCGGGGGAGTGCACGAAGCCACCTCCACTCTCCCTCTGGCTCTGTGAGCAGCACGTGGTGCTTCAAAGCACCATGTGCTCCTGGCAGGGCAGGAGGAAGCTTCGCACGCCCCTCCGCCCACAAGCCAATTAAGGCTTTGAAGTGCCGCACGCTGCTCACAGGGCTGGGGCAGAGTGGAGAAGGCTTCGGGCACTCCATCGCCCCCAGTCCCTAATTGGCCTGGGGCGGGGGGAGCAGCAGGGCCTCCGCAGGCCAGATCCACCCACTTGGCGGGCTGAATCCGGTCCACAGAGGCCCTTTTGCCCACCCCTGGACTAATCAAACAGTTGACACAAATTGCATCAATTGTTCAATTAGCCAGTTAATTGAAATGTTGCATCCCTGGGTACTTGAAAAGATTGGTGACTAACATTACCAATATGTAATCTATCCCACATAGGCTGGAAGCGGAACTTTAAGAAGAGTGCCAGTATAAATGAGGACAAGGCGGCTTTGGGAAAGAACTCATGTGTGTCACTGTATGTAACTCTTACCCATAAGCATTAATACATTTTATTTTAAATATGGTTGAACAAGAATATACCATTTTGCTTTTCCCGCTCTTCTCTTCGCTCCCGGGCTAGTCTTTGTCTCTCTTCTGTTCTCAGAGTGGAACCATCTATCACTGTCAAAAAAGAAAAAAAAAGGGGGGGGATTTGTAATCAGTTATTTAGAACACAGGTTTAAAAAAAAAATGCTTTAAAGTTAGACTACACTATAATCTCCATACTGTTCTTTAATTCAGGAACACCTGTGATACGGATGCTGAAAGGCAGAGGTGGAAGCGACAATGCTCTCTTTCTTCCCTCAGCTGGAACAGCAGCACTGCAACTCGCTCTACCAGAGGTTTTTCCCTGCCACTCCCATAGTGGTAGTGGGTGGTGGTTGGGAAAGGCAGAGCCCTACCCCCACTCAACTCTCACTGGCCCAACAAAATTTTTAATCCAGCAAAGCCTGTTTCCCAGGGTTGCTGGATTAAAGAGGGTCAAGTTATTGGGTACCCATTTACCATGGTATCGTGTAGTACTAACAATCTTTCCCCCCATACATGAAGCATTTACTCTGGAAACCCAACTCCCAACCCTATAACAAATTCAACAGTCTTAATAGGAAAAACAAATACCGGAGGTAAGATTAAATAGAAAGCCTAAACAACAAAGAAGGCCTTGCATTATGCTTTAACCACAGCCCTTATTTCTGGCAGGTGTAAAATCCAGAGGACAGAGGCTATGACCAGGACTAACTTGTCTCTGGCTTCCACAAAGATTATAGTGGATACAATTAGTTGAAGTCCTACAATTATAAAAAGCACATGTTAAAAGCCTAGGGAAGAGTGGGCTTTTAGTTAAGTGGAGCCCAGACCATTTGTAGACAGTACCAAAATCCTTAATTGCACCCGGAGGCAAACTGGCCACAAGAGCAGAGTACAGATCACAAAAATTAATTTGTCTTCACTATTCTGCCTTATGTAGTGTGGGCAAGCTGCACTAATTAAAACCCGGAAAAAGCAAGAATGGAAGCCTGAGTGGTTTCCTAAAAGGTACTGGACCAGCTGCCCAACTCTGCATTCTCTAAAAGGAGAGAGCAAAGCTACTTCAGAAAAATTCTATCCAACCCTTTCAACTCCCACTGGCGAGTTAAGAACACTTTCACGATCAAAAGTAGCCAGAAATTGCACCTGGTTTAGTTGCAGTCTTTATGTTTATTGCTGTTTGGACTGGAACTGGACTAATACCACTTTGGTTTCTTCTTTCTTCTGCTATTGCTTGGGCTGCAGCAACTGTAAAAAAAGCGTTTTGAGAGAGACAATTACTACCAATAAGAGTGTCATCAACTGGGCTCATTTTTTTATTTAATACCTGAAATCTCTGGTCAGATTTCCATTCCCGTCATTTTGCATGTGTTTCCTCTACTGTGTTGTCATCTAGGGATGCAATAGTATAGCCGATTAACCGATAAGCAAAAGTTTATAGGTTAATGTGATAGACTACATGCATCCCCTGCCCCTTGCAGCCTGGCTCAGCCTCAGGAGCTCAGCCTCCTCCACCCTCAGACAGGGGCTCCTGCCACCTCACACTGCCTCTGTATTAGCACGGGGCAATAGGCTGGCAGTCCATGAGGGGAACTGTTTTTTAAACTGGCTCACCTTGTAGACCAGCTTTTGCCTGGCACCCCACGTGTCTGCCTCTGATACAGAGGCAGCAGCACGGGGCCGCAGGGGGCTCCTTGGGAGTGGGGCCGGAGCGCACTGGCTGCCCACACCAGCCCCAGGGACTATAGAATAGTGGAGTAACCAGTAAGAATTCATGAGGTTAATCAACTATTCAATTAACCAATATTTAACATCCTTAGGTGTAATTTTACACAAACTAATTACCCGGTTCTTCCTGGTAGAATGAAGCAACTGCAAATGGGAAAGCAAATGCAGGGCAAAAAATATTCGAGGCTGAAGAAAAAACAACCGAGCCCTATATCTCTGCACACAATTAACAGGGAGGCACCCTTTTTATGAGTTATGTGTATTAGAGATGTTAAATAGTGCTAGGTTCTTACTACATTTAAAAAGCAGAGCTGAAGCGTCTCGGACCCGGCCTGAGCCACGACTGCTCAGTCCTGGCTCACGTAGTTTCCTTTGTTGTGCCTCTGCCTCCCCTGGCCCTCATGGAGACGGTGCTGTATGTGTGTGGGGGAAACCAGCTTTTAAGCTAGCTCCCCACCTTGCTGCCTCGGATACAGAAGCAAGAAGGGGAGAGAGCGCAACTAGTCAAGTAGCATCTCTACTACCTGATAAGTCCTCATCACTTACATCCTTAATATGTATAATACTCCCAATCTTCCCTCCATGGAAACCCCTACTCAAAGTAATGAGCACAGAGCAAGACGGCCATTTGGATTCTTTTAGGAACCAAGAGGCAATCTCAAGAACTACCACCACGAAACCAATATGTTTAAAATTTAGACTCATTTCTAGCAACAGTTATCATAGTTAACGGATTTAAAGTTTATAGTTAAGGGTGAAATATTACATTTGATATATTTCCTGAAAGAAACAGCATTGTCAATGGCTTTCCTTTAACTGAGTACAACAGAATGCAAAGTAAAGGAATAAGAACATTTCTCCATGGCAACTCATTTTGTTATGGTAATAATCCTCCCTAAGGTTGCGCCCTGGAACATTCACCTCAAAATGTGTAATCCCATGTGATATCCAGGATAAATACTAATTACAGTACTTACTCAGCAACTCTAAATTGTCCCCAACAGCTGCTGCCATGTCTTGAATTAATACCTCACTACAGCACCAAACAAAAGCCTTCTTAAATCCTACCTATGTATTCTATTACATCTTCCAGGGTTATTACATATAAACAGCAATATCACATATTGCAACATGATACTCTGACCAGTTGGCAAAGCATAAAACAGGGTACATTTCAGTTTTAGTAAATACACTAAAGATTTAAAAATCAAAACTAATTTTATACATTGCGGCATTAGTCATGCCAACAATATTAATCCAACTCAAAGCAGTGAACAGAGAAAACAATTTCTAGCCACACAAGGGCTAACGAGAAAGAGGCATAACGTAACTGGCTACAGCAGACTTATCTGAGTAAAGGCAGATATGCAGCTCTTGCTGCACCAGTGAAAATGATCCAAAAAAGGCTTAGATGTTTCGAAGGCATGATACTGAGATGATATATATCCTCATCTCTCAGAGACACATAAAGGGTGTGATGATTTATAGGCGGTACATCAAGAGATTTCAAATTAATACAGGAGGGAAATGAATGCTGCAGATCAGATTCAACCCTAGTACAAATAGGTTAAGTATCCTTATGACTTCCTGATTTTTACCTCAAGACTCTAAAATAGATTGTAAACAGTCTCCTGAGTTTTGTAATAGAACACTGCTTGCATGAAATGAGTTGTAATTTCAACTGAAATACAATTTTGAGGATGGAGTTAAAGATAAGCAAATACTTCAGTACTTCTAGCACTTGGACATAACTTGTTGATTTACAATGCAAATGAAATTAACTGTTGCCTTTGGTTTCAAAACAACATTTAAGATGCATCTTTAATGAGACGTATTTTCCATAAGATCTATTCTTATACTCCGTTTAACTTATATGAAGCTGAAATCAACATTTGAGAAAAGCTGGAAAAATAGGACTACATAAGTGTCAGTCATGAACTCTACCTTCTGTAAACAGATATGCATTTTTAAAATAAATCGTGTCAAAACTCGTAAGATGGTATTTTTGTCTCTCTCCACAAGACAGAATTGCTGTTTTAATGTTGAAAGAGGAATATTTGTGGCGTAACCACATATTCCCACATTCATGCGTTTCCAATGGGTACATTTAAGATCCTATCCAATTTATTTGCATGGACTTTTCTAGGCAACGTGAGGAAAAGCAGTTACTGATGTCAGGTATGTTTGTGAATTCTCTTTTAGACTGATTTCTTCTGGTCAGTTAACATTCGTTTAGTGGCTGATGACTCGTTTAGGTTGCTGAATTTGGATAAGATATTGGCATGTATTTTTAAAAGTTTGACTAAGCCATACAGAAGACAGGATAAGAACTTTTATTCGTATATAAAAAAGCCAATTAAATAATGTATTCCCTATATGGTAATTTTTAATAACACAAAGGTGACTGTTTAACTTTTACATAAATTATCCTACAATTTTTTTGATGGCACCTATCAACAGTATTCTACACATATTTTAGCCATTATAAACTACTACCCAAGATTATCCTCTTCTCTTTCTCTCCCACCCTCCCATATGTAAGGCATTTGAGGTCAAGACTCCCTAATAATGAAGGAACCAGAGACAATTTTTCTCACAAGTACAAATTCCTCTTAAAAACAGTCTCGACAAGTTTTCATTAGACTTAAACAAGCAAGCAACTCCAAAACACCATCAACACTCCAAAAGTATTTTTAAAATTTTAATTTGTAGTCACTTATTTTTAGAAATGTGTATTTTAACTTAGCGCTGGTAGAAGTGCCTGGGAGTAAAGCTCTCTAATACAGGTTGTACCTCCCTTAACCAGGACTCAGTCCCGGTATAAGGAGGTCAGGCCACAGGGCAGGAGAGAGGTAGGGGATGTGACTCAGCCAGGAGCCCCGTGTTGAGGGGGTGCAGCAAGGAGTTCTGGTAGCAGCTGCAGAGCCCTGGCAGCTACAGAGCTTGGGCTACTCCAGAAGCAGAGCAGCCACAGAGTTCAAGCCTGGGGAGCCATGGCAGTGGGGCCCAGCTGTAGTCCTAGCTGGGGGCAGCACGAGCCATGTTGGGCGAGTCATTCCCTTGTTTGGCAAATCCCGTTGTTCGGGACCCATCAGGTCCTAAGGGTGCTGGATGAGGGAGGTCCAACCTGTACACCCAAATTTCCTTACACTGTTCCACCAATGTGCCTCACAATCATGATCTGTGGCCACCACTTCATTCATTCAGCTTTGAACAGTCTCAACAAAACCTGGTTGCCAAGTATAAGTGGAATGGTAGGGGAATCTCTATGTAAAAGGGCCACTTTTCCCCCCACTGGGACATGTGCAATAAACTAGACAATCTGAGGTGATAATGGCAAGGATTGGTATATCAAGATTTGTCTCTGCAAACAGTGTCAACATTCAAAAAAGTCATCCTGCTCAATGGTGCTATGATTGTCTAACATAGGGGTTCTCAAAATGGGGGGGCATGACCCCCTCAGGAGGTTGCAAGTTTAGTACATGTGGGGTTGCAAGCTGTCAGCCTCTACACCCCCAAAACCTGCTTCACCTCCAGCATTTATCGGGTATTAAATATAAAAAAAGGTAAAAATATATAAATAAAAACAAGTGCAAGAGGAAGAAAGTTTAATTGCATAGGTTTAAAATCTTAACTCTGAGCATGAAATTATTTTTAATATAGGGGAGGAGGGGGTGTTGTGGATGCATTCAGATTAAATTACCGACACTTAGAGATGTTTCAGGATCCTAATTCTATTAAGAACATAAGAACAGCCATACTGGGTCAGATCAAAGGTCCATCTAGCCTAATATCCTATCTTCTCACAGTGGCCAATGCCAGGTACCCCAGAGGGTATATCTAGACTACAAGCCTATTTCGAAAGAATCTTTTTCAAAATAATCTTTCGAAAGACCGTCTAGGCAGCCACAATTTTTTTTTTGAAAAAGTGATCCACTTTTTTGAAAGAGCACTCAGGCAATTTGGATGCACTCTTTCGAAAAAAGGCATTCTCTTTCGTAAAATGAGGTTTACCACTGTCAAAAAAATCTCCACGTTCTTTCGATTTAATTTCGAAAGAACGCAGCAGCAGTCTAGACGCAGGTGAAGTTTTTTTTAAAAAAGGCCATTTTTAAAAAAAAAAAAAAAAACCCTGTAGTCTAGACGTAGCAAAAGGGAATGAACAGAACATGTAGTTATCAAGTGATCCCTCCCATCACTTATATTCCTATTCTCTTTTCAACACTATTTCTTTTGCATACATCTCACAGTATGAGCTTGTCTTCAGTGCAGCATTAACTCATTAACTCCTTGAGTTAGGCAAGTGAGAGCTGTCATGCTGCAAAACACCACCTGAGCCACACAGTGATTGGATTAGCAGCAAAGAGTAGCCTGAATCCCAACTGCATTACTAGCCCAAATGTCAGCAGCACTCAACCTACACCCAGAAAAGTGAGCTAACTCCAGTTTAAAGCAAAATTTAACTCAAGCACAAGATTTAAATAAAGCATTAAGTAAGACTGGGGAAACACTCAAGTTATAACCCAAGCCAACAGTTCCATGAAGACTAACCCCATGATAGCTTTTTGCTCTGCCTTTCATATCTACTTTTCCTTCCATTTACAC